CCGCATCTAAAATAGTATAAATAGAAGCAGAGTTCTTTACCGTAAGCCTTAATCCTAACCATCTCCCTTCAGTGGGGTTGAATTTCGACATGTATATTATAAAAAAACACATGCGTATTCGAATGCAGCGTTGTGTCAAAATTTCAAAGGAATCGGTAGGAACAAACGAACATTACATTTTTATTTATATAGATAGATAGAAGATGATCTGCTTTAGTTCATTTTCACAGAAAAGCATAATGCCTTACAGAAAAGCAAACTTAGGGCGTCATACTCGTAGCGCCATCTGTTGGACAAAAAAGCCTTAACCATAGATGATATCATTTAATTTATATGAATGTTTAACGGAATAATATACAGCCTATGTCCACCCTGAGGTTCCATTCTAAATATTGGTGATAGAATTTTTGAAATTGGATGAGCAGTTTCGGAGATTACCTGCTGCAAACAAACTTACATACATACATACATACATACATACATACATACATACATACATACATACATACATACATACATAACCTCTTTATAGTATTTTTATCTTTATAATATTAGTATAGATTTACAGATTTTCAGACAAAATTTTTAGAATTTTTATTACTTTTACATGTTAATAATTTTAAATATTATGAAAATCAATTTTCCCAAGCATGTTTTAATTCTTTAAATTAAGTAAATTTTATGGGAAATTTTTTGATTTATCTAAATTACGTAGTGAATTGCAATATATATATTCATGTCCAGACTATATTGACAAGTAACTCTTAGACATAAAAAGTATTATAATTAATGATGATCCAAACAAAGATGTACTAAAAGAATTATATGATTTAATATCATTAATTTTTACGGTACCCTCTACCAGTGCATCTATTGATCAACCATGAAGCAAATTCGTACATTGGCCAGGAACACTCGGTCGGAGGAAAAATTGTCATCGCTAGCATCTCTATTTGGCAATTTTTTTCAGCAAAGTTGCTTGTTGTCGACTCCATCAACGTATTTGAAAGCTCTTTTTCTATTGAAAGCAATTTTCAATAGAAAAAGAGCTTTCAAATACGTTGATGGAGTCGACAACAAGCAACTTTGCTGAAAAAAATTGCCAAATAGAGTTAGTTTATAAAAAATTAAAAAATGAGTTTTTCTACCATTGTTTGTATCATATCAATTTGTGTTATGTATGTATTATTTGTATTTTAGAACTAAAATACATAAATTGTTTATTTTTGTCATTTCCAGTATTTGGTTAAAATTTTTATGGAAATGTGTTGTTCTGGACAGGTCCAAACAGTCACGAAAGACACGAAAAAATGGTTAATTTAGAGAAAATTTTATTATTTTAAAAAAAGATAGGAAAAAATCGTTTATAGTTGGACACCCATTGTTTATATCAAACTGCGATGCAGAAACCATAAATCGGAGAAGGAAGCAGTCTTATGATCAGTGGAAGATCGAATTCATCTTCAATTTTGACCTTTATAGTGCTCCAGATGGAAGTCTTATTACACTTAGTGACGAGGGACCAACCACTCGGGAAGCGTGATTGATAGAGAACAACCAATCAAAATGGTCGAAAGAAAGAATGGAGATTGATATAATCTCCGACAATCAAGCACAATCCAACACCTTGCACTCGATTAACTAAACTAACCAAAATGTCGTGTGTCAATGCACAAAAAAAAAATAAAACAGTTTCTCGTTTATTGTGCCAACCTGTAACCCGTGCCACTTCGAACTCAGATTATGTCCCCAACACCAACAGACAAAATCTCCCTGTGCCTTACAGACTTGTTAACGCCACTGTCTCGGGGCCACCTTCGATCGATGATGAAAGAACCACGTCGACCCAGGACATCTGAACAGCTGATTGTCCTAAAGCAAACTATTTTATACATAGTGTGTGTTTATTTTATGTTAAAATAAATGGTTTTTGTTAGATACTTGTCATCTTTGTCTCTTTCGCCACCATGCATGTACGAATGGAACCTAGACCATCACTGACGCACAATTAACTAATTGTCCCTGGAAGTCAGCTTCTTATAGAAATACAGCTTATCTATCATCAAATGTCATGGCACACCACTGATATAAATGTTCCTAAGATATCAACAGATCTGAGAGTACTTGAACTTCTTGATTTTGAAGATTATGCTTCATTAAATAAAATTGTGTACTCATCTTCCATAATTTCTATAACTTTTTAAATTTTTCTTAATATTTATTTATTAATAAATGCTATAATTTGTTTTAAAATTTTATTTTTTATTTATAGATATTGTCAAGTACTTATACAAGAGTTTCATGTAAAGTTGGATCAAGGATTTTTAAACAGTTTAATATCATTTTTTGGATCTGAAGAAATAACAGATATTGACTATGTAAGAACACTTACTATTATTTAATTATGACTTAAGAGTTTTATTGTAAGAAGAAATAATTTTTAGTAGTGTTGTATCAAATATTTGGCATTATTTGGTATTTGGATATATTTGGCCACAAAGTAGTATTTAGTATATTTAGATGACTACTTTCTCAAAGCTGAACTACTCAGTCAAATAATGTTATCTTAGTTTGAGGGGGGAAAGAAAGAGAGAGGGGAACAAAAGAGAAAAAACAAAATAGAAAGAAAAGAAAAAATATTTTTAAATATCTAAATTGTTTCTTCCTTTCTGAAACAAGTATAACTTTAATAAATGATCCTAAGCAAATATTATTTAGTAATCAGAATTCAAGAGTGAATGAAGAAGCATTAACACTTCTGCATTCATAGAACGTAAGTGATTTTGTTGCCTTCATAAATACTTGTAACTTCACTGAACATACTGTACATTCACTAAATACACTACTTTGTGAGACTACCGAAAAAAATGGACCTCAATGGCAAGATTTTATTTTGTTATTTTTCATTATATAAGAATTAAAATTTTTTAAATAAAAATGTAATCTTTATTATTGAATGGAAGACACTGCCCTCCATCTTGTTCTAAGACTTAGTCTAAGCTTTCTGTTTCAAGCAGTTTCAAATAAATCAGCTGATATTCCACCAAATATTCAGTAGTCAGAAAAGTAAGAATATTTGGTATTCAACAACAGTAACATCTGAATAACTATTTAGTATTTGTTATCAACCAAAACCTAGTTGGTTTTTCCATCCCACTTAAAATCCTATTTGGTTCATCTCTAATTTTTAAATTTTTGGTATACAGGTAGGCCTCCTACAACGTGGTACTTTTACAACGCAGTTTACGGTATTTAGAAACGAATTATCTTTCACATAACAGAAAATTTGCAACGGATTACGTAATATGCCCCGCAGTTCAGTGTACAGAGCTAAATGTCCTCGAAAACAGCTGTTTGTTCACGTTGACGTGTTATTCTCATGAAAGTTTCATTGGAAGATCGGTATCTAGACAGATGTTCTTCAGTTTTTATAAACACTCAAATATATCAATGAATTTTCGATAATTTATACTCTTTTAATAGGTGGGGGCTGCAAAAATGGTCCAAAATACAGTATAAACTTCTATTGGGTGTATATTTTTAACAACATAGTGAAGGAAAGTTATTTTTTGCGATTTTTACTGTCCACAAAACTGCTTGAAAAAATTTTAGCCATAACAATGTCGAATGAAAAGAAAGGACCGTCGTTAGAAAGGAAATTTATTAATATATCTCTTCAAACAAAGATAGAAATTTTTGATCGAATTAAAAATCAAGAGCAGATAGCTGCTGATGGTAGGTATTTTAATTTAAATGAGTCAACTATTCAGTCGATTAAGCAAGAGGAAGAAAAGATTAGGAATTCAGTCGCATCCAGATCATCTATTCTTGCAAAAATTGTTGCTCGTCCGAGAGCACCTATAATGAAAAAAAATGGAACAAGCGCTAATATTATGGGTAGAAGATATGAACAAGAAACGGTTGCCTTTAAATAAAAGTGCAGTTAAACACAAAGTCTTAAAAATATTTGATTATTTAAAACAAATGGGATAGTCGTCGGCTGATGAAACCAGTGTTAAATTTGTGGCTAGCAATGGCTGGTTTGAAAAATTTAAAAAATGCCATTCAAACGTCAAGTTTTTCTCTTTTTAGAACCGAATCCCAGTTTTTGTATTAAGTTAGTGTCTCCTATAATGCGATTTCCCACAACGCGGTATTTTCAAGGAACATATCTACCACGTTGTAGGAGGCCTACCTGTATTTCTAAATTGGATATTGAAATTTAAATTACTTAATTTATTATAGTGGAACAAAAAAATAAAATTGAACTATAAACTAAGTCATACTGTAATTATAAAATTTGGAAACTGATAAAATGTCATTTTCAAATAAAATTTTTGAAACATCCTATCACTTTTCAGTTCATTTATTTATTTAAAAGTAAGTTAGTTTTAAAATTTTGAAAAGATGTGAATGTAAACACCAAAACATGCAATAACCTTTGATAATTAGACATTTCAATTAAGTAAGCTTCAACTTATTATTATTACGTTAAGAATTAAATTATTATTTTCAGCCATCTTCAATGACTATTATTAGGCTATTCAACTGGATTGAATGTTTTTAAATAACATAATGGAAAAGGAATGTTAAATGCAAAGGCAGTGTACTTAAACTTAGTGTTTTAAACTTAGCAATTCATTATGATTGATTGTACAGTAGAGCGTCGATTTTCCGAATCAATTGGGGACTGGGGTTGTCCGGATAACTGATATTTCGGATAACTGATTTACGTACGAAAAAATAGTTTAACGTATCCGATGTCGAAATTTTTCTCCGTTGCGTGTCGCTTCGCGTTGAATTTTCGTCGATGTTAAGCCTAACAAAGACTATTGTATCGTTAAAAATTATTTTTTTATTTTGTACAAACAAAATAAATATATTGAAAAATATAAAAATAATAAAAAATTATACTTCAGATGTTAATTTAGTATCAAAAACGTAAAATATTTGAGTAGCCCAAGACATAGCCAAAGATTGAAGCGCCACAGCACTGGCGAAAATTTAAATTTGCAGACTGAAATTCTTTCGGATGATTGACTTTCGGAAAATCGACGCTCTACTGTATTACTTAACATAAAAACAAGTAAATTAAATGTGATACAAACATAATATCAGTGACAAATAATTATACACAATTATGCAATCACGTGGAGATTTCATGCAATAATCTCCACATCTGGGAAACAGTGTTCTGGTCCTTATAATTAATAGACCTGCCTTGTTGTGTTGTAGATTTATAAATCTCTAATAACTCCATGTGTTTGAGGTTGCCTCTAGATCTTAGATCTAATAATTTTTGCCTCTTTCCCTCTCACACTGGCAAAATTGTCCAAGGCAAAAATAGCCAATATATTGGGTTGTTCGGAAAGTAATTTCATTTTTTATTCTGTGAAAAAAAAAAACATTTTTATAATAAATAAATATTTTATTGAATTATATATCAACCATTTTGGTCAAATAACTGTTGTCATCCTTTCTGGTAGTAGCATGTTTTCACATTCATAAAATTTTTTATCGTTGATTACAAAAAACTGATCCAAGTGATTTTTGACATTGTCATTTCAAGTAAATGTCTTACAGTTAAAAAATTTATATAGACCAGAACAAGTAATAATCTGAGTGTGCTCCATCTGGCGAATATGGTTGGTGTGATAGCACATCCCATCTAAGTTATAACAGTTTCTGACGAGTTACCAAACTTGTGTGAAATTTGACATCATCGTGGTAAAACACTACACCTGTTTTGTTGATCAATTCTGGCCATCTTTTCTGTTTGCTGATATTACTCAATTTGTTTACTCGATTGCAGTACACTTTTGAATCAATTGTTAAATTGTCTGGTAAAAACTTCTAAAAAAATTTCCTTAAAATCCCATCAAAAAGAGCATCTCTCCTTAAGAACATGTGGAACCCATACTTGAAACGAAACCAATTTGTTTCAAGTAATCATAAATGGTTCAGTTTGACAAATTTAATCTCTTCGTGATTTCATGTGTTGTTATTCGGCAGTTTGCTTCAATCAGTACCTTTATTTTGTTTTCATTGGCTTTAACTGGCCATCCAGAATGTGGTGCATCTTCAATATTGAAATTGCCAGAACGAAATTTTGTAAACCAGTTTTGGCACTATCGTTCTGTCAATACATCTTCTCCATACACGTCACACAATTTTTTTCTCGCTTGAACAGCATTCTTATCTTTTCGGTAATAAAAGAGCAAGATATGCCGGAAATGCTGCTTTCGATCTTCCATATTTGATGGGACACAAAAAATAAACAATTGCACAAAATCAAACAAAATTTTTTACAAATAAGCCTTAAAATGCTAGCTGTCAAAATATATAATGATAATAATACAGTTTAGAATGAAAATGGCAGTAAAAATACGACTAATCCGTTTAGTGGTAAAAAAAACTAAATTACTTGTCGAACAACCCAATAGTTAAGGGTGGACTCTTTCCAGTTTTATACTAATGTTCTTTATGTTTACTGCCTTTGCATTTAATGTTCCTTTTTCTCAAATGTTTTTTTAAAAACATTTGATCTAGTCAAACAGCTTGATGATGGCCTTTGAAGATTGCTGAAAATATTGACTGGAGCTTATTAAATGGAAATTTTTGATTTATCAAAGGTGGTTGTGTATTTTTGTGTTTAGTTCTGAATCAGTTAAATTGTGTAAGATGTGAATATAATACATGAATTCAAAAAATTTTGTTATATTTTATTATCAATGATAGAATGTCTTCAACAAAGTATTAAATTGAAAATATCTATTGATATTTAAGTCAAGATAGTAATCATTAAAACAAGTATAACAATGGTATTAATGGCAAATACTTTATTCACCAGTTACTTTAGAAATTATTTTATTGAAATGAAGTGAATAAATAATACACGTCACTTTCATTTCAATAAAATTTTTAAAACAATAAAATACACTTCACCAAACTCACTGATGAATGATAATTTTTTCTTATTTCCAATACTTAAGTTTAGGAGTTCCATCTCAAATATTACATTTTTTTGTTTGTTTGTTCAATTACATTTAGAGTTTTTGTAAATGTAATTATAAAATGATGGAAGTGAAGAGCAGGGAGAAAAATTGAGTATTTGAGATGATACTTTCTAAATTGAATGCTGAAGTCACATTTTCATTAACCATAAGTAGATGTTGTGTATATGATGGTGTGGTCTATGCAATTAATTTATTTGTACTAGAAATTTTTTGCATACTATATATCCCATAATTTTTTTTCCAAATGTTATGCTTAGCTGATACTGGTGCCAAGTGCTATGCCAGACCAAAGTCAAAAAATAGCTACCCAAACAAGTGTAACATTAAGCTGTGTTAATGGTATGCATGTCAATATCTAGGAACTTCGGAACAATGTTACATGTGTTCAGTATTTCAGCTTTTTGTAGGGCCATGTAAATGTTATTAAGGTTTAATGTTTTTAGACTTTTGTATAGTGTATGTGGTATAACACCAGTAGAAGAAAGGACAACAGGTATAATAAACACCTTATCCATCTTCCCCATCTGTCTTCTATTTCTTTGGCAAATGGGGTGTACTTGTGGATTTTTTCAGTGTGGGCATTTTCATGTTGTGTGTGTTTGGAACAGAGATGTCTATTATATAAGTGATCTAACTGCATTTGTCAATGAGAGTGAAGTCAGGTCAGTGGTGATAATGTGAAAGGTGAGAAATGCATTTCAATGAGACAAGGCAAATACCAGTCAAATCGTTTGTACAGTTGTTTGTACATTGAGACAAGGCAAATACCAGTCAAATTCAATTGTTTGTATTCTGGAACACAAGAAGTGAATAAATGGTGGTTACCAATTTTGGACAGACTACATCTTCAAATTAATTTTTGTAAAATTGCCATCCGATGAAATTCTACAATGTGTTTTTATTTAATCGAAATAAGGGAATGGATATCAGTCTGCCTGTTACAGAGACAAAAATGTATATGCACTAGTTTCCTGTTCTCGTTTGATTTTCCCACGACAATTAATTATACAGTTAAACTTAAAACTAAGACTATCACAATTCAGTGTAAACCTAATACTATTCAATGGCGTAGCGTGGGTGTCAGTTGCCCGGGGCGGAGGAAAATTTCGCCGTCCACTTATTTAGATATCTCAATTTAAAAGACTAAAATTCAGTTTCTTCACAGAATAAATAATGAAAAATTACGTGCTCATTTCAATCGGTCAAAATCATAGGTGCGACAAAAATATGAAATGAAATGGTTCAAATTTCTACAAGATATTATTATTTATTGTGAAATTTTGCCACCTCCTAAAAAGTGCCACCCGGGGCAGGCCACCTATGCTGCCCTCACTACACTACGCCACAGATACTATTACTACTTATGACTAGACAGAGAAAGAAAAATGAAGGATGGTTGGCTAGTGTACCAGTAACTTATATTGGGGGGGTCCTGATAATGGGATAATATGGACCATAGTCGCCTTGTGGACAGTGAATGTTCAATCCTTTCACATTCGAGGTAATAACAACCAGTTATCATTAAATATTGCTGAGGAAGGTTCCTTGAGCATGTACGGAAGAGCTCACTAATATAGTTAGAAGTCACCATTCACACGTGGTCTACGCTGACCCTCTATCTCTTCCTATCTTTCGAGGCCTGAATCCTGGTTGCTTCTCACTCGGTCTCCTCTCTCGTCGGTGGCAACCCCAAAAGTGACTCTCCTTAATTAGCACCCATTTTTCCCAGGTTCTTCTTGTGGAGGACCCTTTCTTTTCCCTTTTGTATACTGGCCAATCAGGATCCACGAACAGTTAGGCTCCTGTCATGTGACAGGAAAGGGTTGAAGACAGAAGAAAGGAGTTCCTATTCTATATACAATTATATACAAAAACAAACATAATCACAGATAAATTGTTTTATCTGTGATTATGATTGGCATAGTATATTTTGTGCATGTCATTTTCTAATACTGCCTGTGGAGTATATTTGTAGTATAGTACCTGGATGTTTAATAATCTGTACTTTGTGCAAGCTCTTGGTGTATTATATTTGCTATTTGTTATGCTTATGTAAATATTCTGCTTGTGCTAAGAGCTTGCAACCAGAGGTTGTATTGTTTCTGACAGAATGTGGCATTTTCTGCATTAGACATTTGTGAGTGATGTATCCTTCAAGATGTGTTTTCTGTAATTGTTAGTGTTTATGACCTGACCTTTAATGGCAATCATAAAACCCTCAGTCTCTCTAAACTGGAAGCCCTTAGTCAGCCAGTAGTTTGACACAATTTTGTCAACATAGTCCTGAGCTATGTCATAGGTATTCCTGCCATGAAGTGCCTTTTGTGCCGATGACTGCTTAGTGGTGGTCTGTTATTTGTGTTGAGCTATGTCCAGGTGCTCAGACTATATGTTTAAGTTTAAAGGTGTGTGGTTACTATCTGCCAATGTTATGGCATTACATTCTTAATGTTTTTTGTGGAAAAATTCCTGCAGTATCTGAATTTGTTTGTAGTGCAGGTTAACTATATTAGTAAAGCCCCACGGCCACATTATTATTATTATGTTGGTTTTAGTGAGTTATACTCAGTTCACACTGGTGGCTGTGTACTATGCTGGACCAGAGTCAAGGCATAGCAACCAAAACGAGACAAAAATTAAAAAAGAGTGTCGGTGTGCATGTCTGTATTCAGAAATTCCTAACAATATCACATGTATTCAATATAATGGCCTTCAGTAGTGTGATGTATGTGTTTCTATTCAATTGTAATGTGCCCAGGCTTTTGTTTAGTGTGTGCAGTATGACACCTGTAGAGTATGACATCACGTAACTAGTATTACGGCCTGTATAATCTGGACAGCCTTGTTCAAGGCTAAGCAGAACCAGAGAGGACTCAGGGAATCTCCTTGAGAAATTCCTCACCTAATGGATATTTCATTTGTTTGTATGGAAGTGTTACTAACCCTGAGATGTAGTGTTGTTCTCCAGTGCTGCATAGTGTTTTGGAAGAATGCAATGAGTGATAGATGTATTTTGTACTTGTGTACAATATGTAGCAGCCAGCTGTGTGGAACGCTGTCAAATGCTTCTCTGTAGTCTGTATATGTCGTGTATGTTTCTGTGTTGTTTGTGTGCTATTCGTAGGATGACTGAATCTATGAGTAATTGTTCTTACATCTCCTGTGATTTCTATGGCAACCTTTCTGTTGTTCCATAAGAATGTCGTGTTCTTCAACACATTTATATATTTTGTTTGCGATACATGCTGTCAATAATTTGTAGTGTTGGGAGACATGTACCGGTAATTGGTCTGTATTGTGTGGGGTCTGTGGTGTTGTTGTTTTTAGATTTCATGTAGTTGATGCCCTGAGTAAGAAATTTTGGCATGTCTTGTGGATTGATGATGATGTGTTAGATATTTGACTAGTTCTTGGTGCAGTGATGTAAATTTTTTGTACCAGAAATTGTGAATGTTGTCTACACCAGGTGTCTTCCAGTTGTGTGTTCTGTTAACAGCGTAGTGAATGTCGTGTATGTTTATTTAAGCACAGGGCATACTTAGTATGTTATGCAAGTTTCTGTTCTCCTCCTTGATCCAGCCTGCATCAGCATTGTGTGTAACAGCATTGGACCAAAGAGATGACCAATAAGTTGTGAGTTCTTCTTCTGTTGGTGTGCCACTATGCTGTGTATCAGTATTTGTTTTGGTACTAATTTATCTGTAAAAGAGTTTTTCATTGTTTGGAAATAATTTATTTTGTTGTTTTCGTAGTGTACATGTTTTGTATTGTTTGGGTCTACGTGCTTTGGCTGTGAGTTTCTGTTTTAGTGTATCAACATATTCTGTAATGTGATGATCATGTTTTGTGTGTGTTTTGAATTTCTTGAAAATGTTTTTGAGTTGTTTCTTTAATTTAGGTGTTATGTTGTTTTTAGTGTATTGTGTCAGCCTGCCTATTGCTGTCTAATGTCATTTATTTGTGTTTCTATTCTTCTCTGCCAGGCAGGCTTGTGATAGAATTGTGTTTTGTGTGTGTCTGTCTGCGATTGTATTTTCAGTTCATGGCATAAACTAATGTATGAATGTCTGAGAATGTAGAAATTGAATGAATGTAGTTTGGTAGTGAGTGTTTACATAATTTAGTGTTCTTCCTACTTCCTTTGAAATGTGGATTTTTGGTATTCATGGTCTTTATGTGGGATCTATGCCTGTATATTTAATGAGTGTTTCCTGAAATATAAGTGAAAGCGTATTAACTAAATCTATGTCTATTTTATCAGTGGTGGATGAGGAAGTGTCTGTAGTATCATTAGTGGTAGTTGTTGTGTATGTGCTGTAATTAGTGCTTGTTGCTGGATTATCCTGACAGGTTACATGATCTTTATTAATGTTAAATGTTTCTGTCTGTTGATATATTTGATCAACAACCCTTTGTGACTGTGAGGTGAGGATATTGTTGTGTGAATCTATAGTGTTGTTGTTGTCTGTATGTTGTCATGTTTGTTTTGAGTCTTGTGATCGTGTAGTAAGTACGGATGATAAACTTGTTCATTTCTATTGCCTGAATTGAACAATTTCTATTGAACAAAGAATGAACAAATGAACAAAGAAATGAAAATTTCATCCATTGGCATGGTTTTCCAGCCTTTGTGGTCTGTGGATGCATTGCCACAGATACACAAGGGTTAGGTTGATTCATCATTTCTGTCAAGGGCAATGAAGTAGTCATGCTTGGGCTGGCACTGCTTTCGCCACTGGTAATCAAGGGAGACTGTGGCTTATTTTTCAAATATGAGCCTCTGCCTTATCCACAAACGTGGATTTTGTTAACCCAGGCAATGTCCGAGCTGATATCACACTTAGATCTAGTTACTACCATGATAAATATCTCCACAGAATGTGGGTGTGTTGGTCACTCTTAGCTTCACTTCTCTCCATAGACCTTACTGGCATGGGTACCTTACCAGGAGCTTGTGCTCCAGCCTGCATTATCTATTGATCATATCAAAATTATAAAATATTATATTAATTAATTTTTTTTTTTTTGGTTGCGAAAAAAATCACAATCATAAATGGGGTTGTGAATAAAAAAANTATACACTATGTAGTGTGATGAATGAATCACACTACATAGTGTTTAAGCAACAAATTAATTTTTTATTATACAAATGACTTCAATGCTAAATACTTAAAATAGATGTCAGCAATATTATATAGTTTTTTAATGTTTTAATTGTTGCTTTTATTATTTGGACATTAATAAATTAATATATATAAATAATATATATATATACATACATACATACACACAACTTTGTAATCTTCTATCAAACTTTTGTAGGTAAAGTTATTAGCAAAAGATAAAGAACTTCTTCAAGTTGATTTAAAAGATGTTGCAGAAACATATTCATCACAAGAACTTAAGCATTATTTTGATATGTTACATTTTTCACCTCTAAAGGTTAGTATTTAATTTAAGTTTACTTTGTTAAATAAATTAAATAGAATTTTTTGTAAAATTACTAAATTTTACCAGATACACATTAGTTTTTCAATGACTGGAGGTTCTTCACAAGATGAAGGACAACCTACTGCAATACATTCAGAATTCTTGAATTTATTACTTCAAAGTATAGGGGTCACATTAACAGAAGTACAAGACATCATTTTTAGGTAAAGCTATGAATAATTACTAAATTTTTGGAATTTGATATTTAATTTCTAATTATATGAAGGTCTTTTTGTTATAGCTTATTTAATACACAAAAAATATTATAGATTGTATTAGATATATTAACTTACCAAAAAAAAATTAACTTTATTGTAAATCAAAGTTTAATAATAATTTTTCTAATGTTTTAATGATACTTTGTATTTTAAAAATATATATTTGGAACAATTTAGTATTTTGATACCATATTAAAAGTTCACAAAAGTTAAGATTGTAAAACACACACACATTTATATATACACACACTACATCACGAAGGTATCTGGATATGTATAAGATGTAAGATTTTTTAGTTATATCTCATTCCTTGCAAGAAATAGGAAAAAAAAGTAATGAAAGATCTGAAATCCTCAGACTTTTTATGCTAGAAAAAATATTTAAATATACAAGAAAGTAAATCAAAAAGAGTAATGTAATTTTATTTCAAACTGTGAAAATTTTTACATCACAAAAGTACAGACAGAGGGAATAAATAAAAAGTGTCAGATTATTTGCATAAAAACATGTCTCCAACAACTTACATCAGCAAATTAGTTAAAGTATTTATTTGAAACTTTAACTGTTTTTTTTTTTTGTTTTTGTAAACAATGAAAACAAAAGAGTTAACCAAACTTGTTTAAGAACTCATTAATAAGGAATGAAAAAGAGGAAAATCTGTACGGAATCTTTCATAAGTTTCACATTCCAAATACCAGATACAATTACAAAATTTAGAACAACAAACATTGTAGTAGATAAGACTCTAACTGGACACCCTGAAATATTTACCTCGACGAAAATGTGCTATCATCAGGAAAGTGAAGAAAAATCCACGAATAGGTGCACCTAAGTTTGCTGCTGAAACTTCTATAGAATTTGGAGTACAAACATCTGCAGAAACTGTGAGAAGAATTTTAAGAAAAAGTGGTTATAAAAGTTGTGCAGATAAGAAAAAACTGTTTATCAGCAAAAAAATCATCAGAAAATATTAAAGTTTGAGAAAGAGTTTTATACAAAACCAATAACATTTTGGAACTTAGTTTTGTGGTCAGACAAATCCAATTTCAATCTTTTTGGTTCAGATGGTTGCCCAAAAGTATGGAAAAAAATCTGGAGAATTTCTAAAAATGAAAAACCTGAATCCTACAGTGAAATATGGAGGTGGTTCACTACCATTTTATGGTTGTATGTATGCAAATGGTGCTGGAACTCTGGAATTCATTGATGGAATAATGACTCAACATGAGTATAAATAGATTTTAAATGAAAATGTTCAGAAATCAGTATGAAAATTAAAACTAGGGCAAGGGTATGTTTTCCAGTATGACAACAATGTGAAGCATACATCAAAATCAGTCTCGGTTTCTTGATGTGCACCATATAAAAGTGCTTCCCTGTCATCCACAATCACCCAATCTCAACCTGAGTGACCATTTATGGGATCACATTGAACAGATCATCAGAACAGAATCAATAACAAATAAAACTGATCTTAAAAACATCATCACCAGAGTTTGGAATTTAATAGACAGAAGTACAGTAAGACCCAATGTTAAGTGGGGGATGCGTTTCTAGACAATGAAGCGCTAAGCGAAACAGCATTAAACAGGGTCATTTTAACACAGAGTAAATAGGGATAGGGGAACACGTGACCAAACATCAAAAAATTTTACTTTAATTTTAAGTTATTTTTATATTAATTTGTATAATAATATATGTTAAATAACACATAAACATATGCACACAGAAATGTAAAGTTCAGTTTTTGTGATGAAGGTCCTGACTTTTCTGAAATTCTTTTTCTTTTGCAATAAAATCATGAAGTTTCATTTGTCGCTTTTTTCTTTCCTTGAGCAAATGTCGGTAGCAGAAGATCGCATCCAAAACACCTTATTTTGCTTTTGCACTCCTTCCAAAATCTGGATCATTCGCTACAATTTGATCAATGATTTTGGTTATCTTACCAAACTTTTACTAAGGAAATCTGTAGAGAAATTTTTTGGGTTCTTCGTTTTTGGAATCTCTATTTTCCAATTCCACATGAATTTCATGTTCTGCCAGTTCTGGAAGGTCATTGTTGGTAAGGCTCTCACCAGAAATCTGCTGTAACTCCTCAATATCCTGCTCGTCTATATCTAGTCCTGCTATATTGATTAGGTTGAGTTTGGTCAACTTAACAATACAGCGATAGGCTCTTCTCTTTGAGAATTCTTGGATACCTTCAGCCATAACTTTTTCCACACTTCGTTTCTACATTTATTAGTTAATTCTTGCCAAGCGAAGTCGATATTTCCTATGGCATCTGTTGGTAATGCCTATACATTTCTATGGTGGTATATTTTTTTCCAAAATTGCACCAAACAAACAGATTTAAAGAAAGTACACCTTTTTGCCATCTTTTGCTGATTGGTTTGGGTTTGCAAATAATTGTATTATATACAAATCAATGAAATGCTGTGATAATTTAAATCAGCGTAAATTTTGAGCTTTTTTTTTACTGTATTACAAAAAAATTGGTTGAATCAATGCCTAGTCATTAGAAGCTGTAATTAGGGCAAAAGGAGGTCAACTCATTAATAAAAGTATAAAATATTGTTTTTTCATTATTTATTTCCTCTGGTTACTTTTGTAAAATTAGATTTTTTGCTTTGATCAATGCTTTTTGTATATGTAAATATTTTTTTCTAATGTAGAAAAGTCTGAGGATTTCAAATCTGTCATTATTTTTTTCCTACTTCATCTGAGAATTAAGTTATAACTAAACACTCTTACATCTTATAGGTGTCTGGATACTTTTGTGACAATTGTGTGTGTAATATTGTTTATTATTATATATATTTTACATTTCGTAAAATATATATAATAATAAAATTTTTCACATACATGCAAGTATTAAAAATAAATAAATAATCAACAAAACAAAAAATAATAAGTATGAAATGTGAGCAACATTAATACCATAATTTTTTGCAAATAACTCCCAAGGGAACTGTCGGAGTGTCTTCTAATAAATTTTAATAAAATTTAGTTAATAACTACGTTAAAAGTATACAAACTCTATTTTAAATTTGTAGCATTCACTAAAAGTGTTGATCAGAGTTATTAGCAATCAAATGTTGCACTACTTTATAGTAGTTTAGCACAATTACGCAAATTTTTAGAAGTGAAAGGGTCGCGGAGGAAGACGGCGATATTACATTTAGAATAAATTCTGGAATTTTCAAAAATGGTTGAAGAATTAATAAAATTTTGTATACTTTTAACATAATTATTAACTAAATTTTATTAATTCTTCTCCTATTTTTGAAAATTCCAGAATTTATTCTAAATGTAATATCGCCGTCTTCCTCCGCGACCCTTTCACTTCTAAAAATTTGCATAACTGTGTTAAACTACTATAAAGTAGTGCAACATTTGATTGCTAATAACTCTGATCAACACTTTTAGTGAATGCTACAAATTTAAAATAGAGTTTGTATACTTTTAATGTAGTTATTAACTAAATTTTATTAAAATTTATTAGAAGACACTCCGACAGTTTCCTTGTCAGTGGCATGTAACACACAACAGCATATATTTTGCTGAAAATTACTAGAATGAAAATAAAGCCTTTACTTTAATCTACACTGCCATGTACCTCCATTGCGGCAACTATAAGTATGATAATTACTGGCTTATAGTTTAGAAGGTACCATTTTAAATATTAGAAATGTTTCTTTATTATGTTTTGTATCTGTTAGCAGTGTGGTATAGATGTTATTATAAAAAAAGTGAATTGGAAAAAAGGAATACTGAGACAGAATCAACTAAACTTTGTAAATGTATAAAATATAAGGACTGCCAAACTATAAAATTTTTTAATCCTGTTGCTTCATTTCTGTTTTATTTATCTAATAATAATAAATCCCTATGACCTGGCCCAGGATTTTGTTGACAAAACTGTATCAAACAGCTGGTTAGATCAGGGATGCCTCTTTGGGGAGATGGAAGGATTTGTGATTGCCATACAGGATCAGGTCATAAATACTAAAAACTACAGAAAACACAAACTCAAAAATACAAATCTCACAAATGACACAAGCAGAAAATGTCACATGCCAGAAAGTATACAAAACATCACTTCTGGTTGCAAGCTCTTGGCACAGACAGATTATTTACACAGACATATCAAGTAGCAAATATAATAAACCAAGAACTTGCAAACAAACACAAATTATTAGACATCCACAAACCATACTACAAATACATTCCACAGACAGTATTGGAAAACATCACGCACAAAATGTACTACGTGCATTTTGTGCGTGATGTTTTATCTGTGATTATGCTATAATCACAGATAAAACAATTTACCACAACAGACCAGACATCACACTCATTGACAAACACAATAAAATCACATACATTACAGACATAGCCATTCCAAACACTCACAATGTACAAAACACATGCACTGAAAAAATTAGCAAGTACACAGAACTCGCCCAGGAAATAAGGCATCTGTTGAGGATGAAAAGGGTGCTTATTGTACCTGTTGTTCTCTCCTGTACAGGTGTGATACCACACAAACTACACAAAAACCTGGGAAAATTACAATCGAATAGAAATACATATATCACACTACAGAAGGCCACTATATTGAATACATGTCATATTGTTAGGAAATATAATAATAATACTATACAGGGTGTCCCAACGAAAACGAAACGGCAGAGATATCGCGTTCGTCCAAGCAAATCGCTCGGACAGGTCGATTTTATTCTCAAGGGGGATATTTTTTGCAATGAAGTTTTTGCGATTCTGAATACAACAGACAACAAAATTTTTAAAAACTTATTCATTTTTTATTAGCTAAACAAACATTTATTTCAAATAAAGTAACACAAACTATTAAAAAACATAAAAAACCTTTTAAGCTAGACCGCATATGCAAGGAAAAATAAGTTGATCATAAAAGTAAGGT